GAAGATCAATGTTGAAGAAAATTTCCTGAGGTGGGACACAGAACCTACTTCATATTCACAAGTCACTGGCAGTCATGCCAACTAGTGTAAACTCAGGCAGTCCAGTTCTGCCCTGGCTTGAGGCTTCTGCTCTGATCCAAAGTAGCCACAGAAATATGGTCTCCTTCCGGTTTTCCAAGAATCCATGAAGAAATTAAATCTCTTCTGGCTTATTCGTGGCTTAAATTGGAAGCCGAGCTATTCAAGAACAAAATTTGTCTTCTTATTCAAGATCCACTAGGTTCATTCAAGGGTGAGTGTGAGTCTTGTGTGGTATCTAATATCACCTTACTTCACAATGCTAAACGTTCTCTGAGAAACTGTCTGTACTCTGTCAACCTAAAAATGCCTCTTTGAGTAAGTGAGGGGAAAAGGAGAGGTGGTAGTGGTGGTGGAGGGGGGAGTTCCCAAAGCAGAGAAAACAAAAAGGAAAAGAGGAGGAAATGGCCGGTGTTCAATGAACCCATACGTGTGAAAGGCTAATCCAGAAATCACTCAGGAATCACCAGACTCTGTTGACATCGCTCGCTACACACACGCTCACCTTCCCCATCTCCCACAAAGCCTCACTTCCTGAAGCAAAGTGACCTTCTGAAATCTGGCCACTCAACCTCAGCTCTTGGCCCCATGCCCCTCCTATGCAACAGCTTCTACACACCATTAGCTTCCTTCCAAAGTCCCCATTGAGTTCTTACCCAATGCAATACGCTTTTCCTGTTTTCAGAAGAAGGGTACGGGCCAAGCATCCAGCAAACAAAGGCAGGGCAGAGGGCCATTAGAAGTTCCAAGGCATTTACATATTGCAGGGAGCGTTTGAAAGGAGGGAGAGGTTTCAGGGACTCCATCGCGGAAGGCAGCACAGTGCTTGGAACACGGCTCACTCAGTGTTCAGAACAGCACCCATGGGGTGGTCATGCTCACAGGAACAGAGTGTTGAAAGAGTGATTATGTGTTAAGATAGTTTGGCTGTCAACCAAATAACATGTTACTGCCTACTGCCAAGCCAGGCACTTCTGCTGATTGGTGACTTTTTAAGAATGATGACAATAAATAAATAAACTGGTTTAAAGGAAAAACATCATTTCCCAGATGGGTTTTTTGTTGAAGAGATGGGAGTTGGGATAAGAGGACTTTAGCTTGGCCTCTGATGGATCCCAGAATGTTTCTCTATCGAAGGTGGGCTTCTGTCCATATTCCTCCCAGAGGACCCATTCACCGTCAGTCCCACACTGTCTATATGAACTTCAATGAATCATCAAGCTCTGTCTCTTGCAGTTTCTTCACCTTTAAGTGGAGTCAATGTTCCTGACCCCTTACGCTCACACTCAGTGCTGGGTATGTAATGAGGTGGAGGAGGGTAGGAAAGTTGGCCTGGGAGTGAAGGCAGACCCAGCAGATAGGGGAGAATACAGGAAGCCCAGGCAAAAGCCCACAGGTCTCCTGAAACGGACTCTGTAGGGTGACTTTTGGTGTTTGGCTGGCTCTCTATTGGATTCCTTTTCTTTTCTCCCAGCCCTGAGGTTTTGGCCTGCTGTTCTGCCTGGGTTTCTGCCCCTTCAAGGCTGATGAAGGCCAGGGTGCTTTCTCTCAATGCCTGTGCTCGCTCATGGTCACTGAAGCAAGCACCAATCTACTTTCATTTTCCACTTTTCAAAAAGCCTTTTCACTGCTAGTAGCTGTGGGGAATGTGGGTATACCACAACACAAACAACAGGGAAACCACAAGTAATAAAAAAATTATTTACAACTCCAAGTCAACTGGTTTGAGTTATCCTTGGTCATTTTTGAGGCATCAAAGGGGAATAATGGTCATGCAGCAGGGGTGTATGTGGTTCAGAACTGAAGCTGAGTCACAGTAAAAAAAAAATCTTATTATTTAATAATTTATATATTTTATAAAACAAACACAAACATGCAGAAATAACTGTAACATTAATCATCCCTGGGTATGTCTCAACCACTGTCATGAAGGAGACAGGTGGCTCCCAGCAATACTTGCTATTTCTATATCCTTCTTTTCCCCTTCCCCATCTACCCTTCATATCCTACACCTTCTTCTATACGTTCTCCTTGATGCCCCACCTCACTCAAGATAAACTCCTCAAATATTCTGAGCCCAGGGATCTCATGTAAAGTCACTACTCCCTTTCATCCTCCGGCCAGCTCTTGGATCTTGCTCTTTCCTACCCAGTTTCTCACCAAAACAAACAAACAAACAAACAAAAAACCACCACCAACAAAACCCACTGCTCTGGAATGACAGGGTCCTCCTCCTTAAAGGACATGGAAGTGAAGAATCTGTCTGACAAACTATGAGGCATTATTTATCCTTTACTGGAACTAGAGGAGGGAAAGTACAGAGACTTGCTTGCTCAAATATTCGTGTGATCACAGGAACCAGGCCTGCCTTGTTCTAAACCCAGACCGATTCACTCCTCCCCCAGTTTTGGTCTAAAACAAAAAAGCCCAACCCTTTGGGTGAGCAGTTCTGATAGAGAGTGCTGTCCCTCTTTCCTCTACACTTATCTCTGGGGCCCTGCCATTTACCTGTTCTTGGGACCCAACTTCTAGAGCACCCCTTATAGTTGGAAATCCTGGGTCTTCCCCAGTTTTTTGGAATCACAACAGTAATACAAGTAACAATAATGGTGAGGATGATTCTACTAATGTAGATAGGGCATTTTCTATGTGCCAGGCACTGTGTAAACATTTAACATGGATTGTGTCTTCTGGTTTCCAAGTCCTAAAGAACCGTATTAGTTACCTAACAAAATGCCACCAAGCTTGGCAGCTTAAAGCAGCACACAGTCACTTACCTTCTCACAGTTTTCGTGTGTTAGGAATCTGGGCATGACTTAGCTGAGTGCTTGGCTTCAAGGTCCCTCAATCACTGTGTTGCTTAGGCTACAGTCCCCTCAAGGATCAATTGGGCAAGGATTTGATTCCAAACTCACGTGGTCATTGTCAGGATACAGTTCCTCACTGGTTCCTGAAGGGCCTCAGATCTTCATGACTGTTGGCCAGAAGCTGCCCTCAGTTCTTTGTCTTATGGCCTCTCCAACATGGCAACTTCCTTCCTCAAGGGTGCAAGCTATGAGGCAGCGAGATAATGCTAGCAAGACAGATGTCACAATCTTTTGTACCTATTCATGGAAGTGACACCCATCACCTTTGCCATATTCTTTTGGTTAGAATTGAGCCACCATGTCCAGTCCACACTCAAAAGGACATGGATCCCTGGGGTTCATCTTAGAAATTTGCCAACCTCAAGACCAAACAGAGAAGGAGGGAGAAAGAGTTGTTTTAAGATTTCAAGGACAATATCAAGACTAGAAGATGAAAGTAGTTCAGGGTATAAGGTTTGAAGCTAGTAAAGTTAGACGTTAGAAGGTAGAATGGGACGTACCTTATAGCATTTTTGAACCAGTGTCTTTAATTTTACACGTGTTTATTGTGCAAAGAACTGCTTTCTCCACTGGGAAGGTAAGTGGAAAATAATGGTAATGGAATGGGGTGGGGGGGTAGAGAAAAATCAAAGAGGAACTGAAGATAACCTCTCTGGACAGAGGTGGCCCAGAGACCCC